CAAAGCTCTACCTCAAATATGATCACGTTTTGTGAAGGAAGTAGACAACAACAATTAAAGGAATCGTATGTGGAAAATTTTAGCGTTCTTTCCCGACATGAATACGTCAGTAGTGAATACTAGAGAAAAAACAACGTTTCACGCAAGAGATTGAGATCCGAAGAGAAACAAACATACGAAAACCCTGAGACGGTCGCAGGCAGGTCGGGCGAATTGATAAATCTGGTTAGCGCGTTCATTTCTGGGGAATAGAGTCTAAACGATTGGAAGAATAGCATGCAGAAGAAAAGGGAAATGTTATTGCCAACGGTGAGAAAGGCCAAAAAAAATTTAGTCGGATTCGAGAGCCAAGTGGAATCGCTTCCCAACGCCAACATTTGTGACAGAGGTACGGCGGCAGTTTGAACGCGTAACAGGCCTTCCAAATTTAAGATTGCTTAGCGGAACGAAGGCCATCTTTTTCGTTTTTCGTTCTTATCTTATTTTCGTTTTTGAACCGTAGTTGTAAAGCCATTGAGTCATCGGTGAGAGAGGATCACGCTTTTTTCGTACTAGATTCTCTTAACCGTGATGTTGGTGAATCCCTTTTAACAGGCCGAGGCCATCAATGTAGAGTTGGGTGCTTTTGTTCTCTTCCTGTGCGAGACCTGCATCAACTAACTCGTTGCGATCTGCGTAGCTTCATTAAAGGCAAAAGTCAGGCTCGTGTTTGGGCATTATGGCGCCTGAAATTGAGTGTAGAGATGGGAGGTGGAACGACAGTGAAGAAAAAACGCAAAGAAACCGTCGACAAGACCGAAATCGAAACCCCTTCCCTTCTAGCAGTGAAGGAGGCTTGCTCGGGGGAGAGCCACGTCCAAACGAGTTTTCCGGATATGCCAGCCGTTCCATCGGTTGATACGGCAATCAACCTAGCTGATCTCACACGTTAGGCCAGCCACGCACCACATCCCGCGGTGGGCGGGACCAGCTGATGAAACGAACCCATCGCTGTAAGTAGTAGGCCAGAGGCCTTGACGGCGCGCAATCTCGAGTCAGGAGTGTGGCATCACCCCTCTGAGCGCATTCCTGGAAATATTAGTGATGGAAAGGCCTTCTATGGTCACCTAATCCTGACTCGTGGCTTTAAACTGCATAAGTTAACGCTCTCTTGCAAATTCATTTTCTTTCTGAAGCCTTGCCAACCACTGAAGATATCGTCACGATTTCCGCCACGGACACCTGGGTTTACGACAACTCCGGGGCAAAATGCAACACCACTGTCGAGCGAGGGGTCGTATTAAGGAGGAGGTATGGTTTCAGGCTTTCCTTAACTGGCTTACCGTATTTTCTACTCCTTCCTCTCCAGTCGAGTCAAATACAACCCGAGGAATTCTACACAATGGCTCACTGTGTTAGTCCAGACAGAGCTATAACTTCCATCAGTGGCCGTGATACTTCACTCATCTGATTTGCACCTTCAAGCAGGGTCAACCCTACGTTGTTACGAGTAACAACGGGGGGGTCGTACTCAGTTGAGCTTGGAGGGGGGGGGGTCGTACCCTCTCGGTGGCCGACAGTGGGATTCTTGGTAATATCGGATAATAGCCAGCACGTTACGTTTTCGTAAGATGACTGATACTAGAGCATCTATAAACCACGCTTCCCTCTAAATGAGCTTTCAAATGAATCAGCGAATTAGAAGGGCGCCCGAGGCGTGGCGCGCACCAAGGCAAGGGATGTAGTGCAAGCGCATGCTCGAAGCTTTCTAGCACATCCTAAATTAAACATGAAATTGGTCTTCCAAGAAGTTACGGGCAGTGAAACCTAAGAAAACCGCGTTTTCGAGAAAATGGCTTGAAGAATACCCCTCAAAAAAAGTAACAACGGGACTAATTTTTGAACTGCTGATCTTTCAGGAACGCTTGGGTGCTCGTTAGAAAGCTTGAATCCTGTAGTTTATTATACCGTGTTCAGCTTCCCAAATGAATGACTTTGAAGGAAGTTATGATCGTTGAAGGTAAAAAAGTCGCG